AGAGAAAATTATAGGCTGCAGATTGGCTGCAGGCTAGCTTCCTCCGGGTGCCTGAGAGCGCTCGGATGGATCTCGGATGGCTGCAGACATTGGCTGTATTCGGACATACGTCAGCCAAAATCCAGCCATCCACAGCCGCTGCAGCCTCTCTGGCTGCACCTGCCAGCCATTGAAGTGTCCCTTTGGAGCCGAGTCGGCCCTGCCCCCGCACTGAAAATTGAATGGCAAGACTGATGGCCAAAATTTGGTGAGACAAAAAAGTCTCGCCATTTTTTGGCGAGAAACAAAAGTCTCGCCATTTTTTTGGCGAGAAACTAAAGTCTCGCCATTTTTTGGCGAGAAACAAATGTCTCGCCAAAATATGGCAATAATTGCAACCCCACTCTATTTGATACTGGGAAATATATCCCAATCAAGATCACTCTGGTAAACACATCACTAACTACAGTCTTTCAATTACTCAAGTTGAAAATAATACAGGAAGCTATCACTTTCAGATATGAAAATATTAATGTTAGGTTATATGATGTGAATTTGGTTTGCGTCAGCAAAGCGTTGCCCAACTATTTACTTTTTTTGTCATCGTTTAAAAAGACATTGGTCCAGTGGGAGGTCTCTTTCAGTGTCCATGTAGTTAGAGATAATGTCTTTAATAAGAGGCCTAAACAAAGCGACATCCATGATGACACAAGTTCTTACTCTCTCCTTTGACTTATTCCAATCCCCAGCTTAACCTTGCTGCACTTGGGCATTGTTGGAGGTTCCATGGACAGAACTCGGTTAATAAACTCGAGTTAAGAAAGTTCTGTGCACTATCTAGCACTCTCCGTTTCGCCGTCTCCACTGGACAAAATGCCAAAGTACAGCAGCAGCACTTTAAATCGCCAACACAGATATAATAAAGAAAACATTTTAGTGCACAGACAAGCAACACAGCAACAGGACTGCCATGTTGAAATTCATTTGTTGTCCTCGTTGTGTCGTCTGCTACAGTAGCATTTGTTTTGCGGTAGTGCCAACCTGCACTGCCTTCCAAAAGTAATTTTACAAGTAACGAAAAAAATGTATAGGTTGGCACTACCGCAAAACAAATGCTACTGTAGCAGACGACACAACATGGCAGTCCTGTTGCTGTGTTGCTTGTCTGTGCACTAAAATGTTTTCTTTATTATATCTGTGTTGGCGATTTAAAGTGCTGCTGCTGTACTTTGGCATTTTGTCCAGTGGAGACGGCGAAACGGAGAGTGCTAGATAGTGCACAGAACTTTCTTAACTCGAGTTTATTAACCGAGTTCTGTCCATGGAACCTCCAACAATGCCCAAGTGCAGCAAGGTTAGCTGGGGATTGGAATAAGTCAAAGGAGTGAGTAAGAACTTGTGTCATCATGCATGTCGCTTTGTTTAGGCCTCTTATTAAAGACATTATCTTTAACTACATGGACACTGAAAGAGACCTTTTAGGATCTGACTCACTGGACCAATGTCTTTTTAAACGATGACAAAAAAAAGTAAATAGTTGGGCAACGCTTTGCTAACGCAAACCAAATTCACATAATATAACCTTACATTAATATTTTCATAACTGAAAGTGATAGCTTCCTGTATTATTTTCAACTTGAGTAATTGAAAGACTGTAGTTAGTGATGTGTTTACCGGAGTGATCTTGACTGGGATATATTTCCCAGTATCAAATAGAGTGGGGTTGCAATTATTGCCATATTTTGGCGAGACATTTGTTTCTCGCCAAAAAATGGCGAGACTTTAGTTTCTCGCCAAAAAAATGGCGAGACTTTTGTTTCTCGCCAAAAATTGGCGAGACTTTTTTTCTTTCCCCTAGGTTGGAATGAATTCTGACCTTTGACTTTTCAGTGCGCTGCTCTAGGCTGCACCCCGCAGCCTACGGGATGCTCCAGGCAGCCTTCCTTCGCGGACCACGCTGCCCCCAGCAGCCACGAGGCTGCGAGGCGCTGCTCTAAGCTGCACCCAACAGCCTTCAGGATGCCCCAGGCAGCTTTCCTTCGCCCGGGCCACGCTGCCCCCGGAAGCCTAGAGGCTGTGGGGCGCTGCTGTAGGCTGCACCCCGCAGCCTTCAGGATGCTCCAGGCAGCCTTCAGGATGCTCCAGGCAGCCTTCTTTCGCCCGGGCCACGCTGCCCCTGGCAGCTATGAAGCTGCGGGTCACAGCCACATCTCGGCTGCATCCTGCAGCTTCGTGGATGCCATCGGCAGCACCCATATCGCTACTAGGCTTCCCTCCTTAGAACATGAAGGTCCCCATGACTACCTTTGAGGGTGCCTGTTACGCCCTTTGAAGTTCTATGGATCCCTTAGTAGATTTTCTAGGGTTCCAACACCGTTCCAGATCCAAATCAGTTAAGTAATTTCATCTAGGACTTTCCGTTCCCGAGATATCAAAGATAACAAAAAAGTGTCCCGATTTTTACGAAACTTGCATGGCTTATGTATGTTAACGTATTCAACTCAAATATCAGCATACCACGCACCCATTCTATTTTTTTCTATTTTTATAACCCTTTAATCAAGGAGTGCGCCTGAATACCGCCAGCATCCACCATGCTGCATCCGTAGCCTACAGCCATTGCAGCCTATATGGCTGTATAGTCATGCCGTAGCCCGGCTGCATCCGGCAGCCAACACGCTGCGACGCGCAGCCTACAGCCACTGCAGCTAAGTTGGCTGTGCGTGGCAGCGTTTATAGGCTGCTTCGGGCAGCCAAAAGGCTTCTGTGCGCAGCTTCTGAAGAGTTCCACAGCCAAAGCGCTCCGTGAAACAGCCAGACCAGCCACTGCAGCGTGCATGGCTGCAAGTCCAGGACATCGCTATGGCTGCGACATGGCTGCAAGGCAGCCACGGCAGCCAATCATACAGCCAAAAAACGGTCCATACAGCCATGCGTCAGCCAAGCGTCAGCCTATCTGCAGCCTTTTATTTTTACTCGGGCGGCGTGTCAGCCACATCTCCAAGCGGGGCCGGCCGGCCGGCGCGCCACCCGAACCCGACCTCAAGATAGATAAGCAAGAGTGGCGCACACTGCCGACTGCCGACGCGCCGCTTCTCGAGAGGGGCAGGGATTCGGGGGGGCGCTGCACTATGCGTCAGGGTTGCCAGGTTAGGCTAGAAACCGCCACTTAGGCTATTTTTGGGTCTCAGTCGGCGGGTCTTAATTCCGATTTACGGGAAACCGCAAATTAGGCTATAAATAAAATAAATTTGGGCGGTTTTGATTCCAAGTGGTCAAAATGGCCTTTTTTGGTTGTTTCGGCTTGTTTCGAGTCCGAGTTGAGACTACCTTCACCTCGCCACCGAGGCCGTATGATCGCACCCTCTTATTTCCAGGGTTTGAAGACAAAAACCTTGGGGTTAGGGCCTAGTTTATTCTGTTTAATTGTCAAGGAAAAATAAAGACTAAAAACATAGAAATCTGATATTTGATTATTTTTCCACCGCACCAGGCGGGATGGTGCTTTTGTTAGGCGGTTTTAGGCTATTTTGAAAGGTGGCGTTCCACTTTGCGAATCTACGTCTGGGCTGGGGCTCCTGCAATGCATAGACAAAAGTTCAACTTAATTAGACGTTTTTTTTTTGCCAGTACACTGAGCTAAATTATGCCCTAGAGAGGCGCAAAGCTTTTTAATGCCGCAATCCTGAATTTGTGATTTTTGAAGGGCACAAGTAACAAATCGAGGGGTCCTATTCAAAAGATCTTATCTGGGCGTTCCCCCCAAGACAATCTTATCTTAAACGCCGGCAAATTTCACTCATTTTGAACGATCAGAAAAAATACGACGGCAAGCGAAACATATTTCTACATGCACTTTTGGTTTCTTTGATCTTCCATCTTTTGAGTAACTTGAACAAACTCACAAATTATATTGATATGTAGCTGTACCAAATGATCAAACTATGTGAAATTCGCGTGCGTTTAAGATAAGATTGTCTTGGGGGGAACGCCCAGATAAGATCTTTTGAATAGGACCCCTCGAAATGCCCTTTTAAAGGGCCTGAAAGCAACTAGGGTTTCATGTTTTTTACTCGCAGTTCGACGCGTCCTAATGCAATAGTCCTGTCGGAGCAGATCCAAGACAATCCCAACCGTCAGGGCAGATTTAGAACTACCTTAACTGCAGAGGTGCCTAAAAGTGTTCCTAAAGTATCTTCACAGCAAATCAGTGAATCTCTCTATATCTATGAAATACAATGTCCACGTATTTATAAAAGGACGAAACTTTGTAACAAGCCCTTCAGCGTGTAATTTTATGACGCATGGTGGCGTCGGCGTCACGGACTTTGAGAAAAGACCGCTTTTTACGTGTTTTTTCACCACTTTTCACCAGTTATAGGATAGTTCTGAATTTACACTTACAGTTAGGATGGTCTTAGATCTACTCTGGCAGCTAGGATTATTCTGTAAAGAGAAGTCGAGTTTTGTTTTTTAGGTCCTACAAATCATGGAGGGGGTAAACACTTCAAGAAATCGTGTACAGACTACTCGGTATTACGCTGTATTACGGGTGTATTACACGTGTATTACGGCCCTAAAATGTCAAAATTTGGCACATTTGACACAAAAATGGTATTACGATCACGTGTAATACACGGTTTTTGTGTACAGGGTATTACGCGAGTGATTACCCCCTCGCAAATTATATTGTATGTGTACACTCTGAAAACCTTGCAAAATATTTAAGCCTAAGTAAAGAACCTTCACTACCCAGTATTTTGAGTATACATAAGCTTGTGGGGAACATAGATCGTAATTGACGAACTATTACTTCGCATAACAAAGTAAAGCAGTTCCTACTATGTATGCTCAAAATACTTCGGAAGATTTTAAGCGTGTAAACACCCCGGCTCGTACTTTACGTGATGAGTGATCAGATAGGGGCAAACGAAAGCTGAACGGACGTCTCTCAAGTACAAAACAAGCAATAGAATCCAAGGACTTGAAAAACTTTGGTGTGGAGAACTCCGCGTACGTACCGGATCCACGTGCCGTGTCTTGGGCCAGCGCCCCGCCGTTCCTCGCCGCAGCACAACCCCTTCTCGCCCTAGAAGGGCCGATTTACCGCTCCGCCTCCCTCTCCACTCCCTTCGCGGCACTGCTCGGATCGCCGGCCTGGAACACAGTGCGAACAGCGTTAGGCCCTTTCCAACCCACACACCACACGAAAAGAACGGTTCCTGGTTCCAGGTAGCCTATAAGACAAAAAGGAAGTTCCTGGGCAAATCAAGAACTCTCTATGCCGTGTAGGGTTAGCAGTGCATCGAGTGGATTGCTTCCCCCCCACGAATTTAGATTGGAGGAAAGGAGCGGATGAGCTCTAGTACGCTCCAAGGAGGGCGTACAGCCTGTACTCTGTACACTCTCATTCCAGGAACGTGACATCACGTTGAAACGAACGTGACAACGTGTCACGTTCGTTTGAGCATTGTGTCACGTTCGTTTGAATGTGAACGAGCTGATTTTTGGCCAATTCACCAACGATGTGAACATGCTCGAACGAACGTGACACTTGCACGTTCGTTCAAGGAGTCCGTTGGAATGGGAGACTAAAGCAGCAGGCTACGCTTCGTACCTTTTGGCGACTTGGGTATCGCCAAACACGCTTAAAGAACTGGAATTTTCATATGCACTTCAGCATAATAGCATGCACGTTGCACGTTCGCCAACGTGATGTCACGTTCCTGGAAAGGGTCAGTGCGCTGCGACTGAAGGCACGTTGCCGCGCGAAAAGCAAAGGCTCCGCATCCAAGACGCTTTTTTGGCGAACTGCGTGTTTGGATCGCGCGGGGAAACACGGCATTAAATAAGACTGGGAAACTGTGTTTACGCACAATAGCCCTTTGTCGCGCGCCGCTACTGCATGCCTTTTCCTTACAGGTGTCGTATGTAAGGTGTATATAATATTATCACTGTGTACATTTTATGCACCTTTCTGCATAAAATGTACGCAGTGATACACACCTTACGAACGTGTCTGCTCATGCCTAATTACAGATATACACTGTGAGAAAAAAGTACGGAAAAAGTACGGAACATGTCTGATCAATAATTTGCCTGGACCGTCCGTACTTGCCACCTACGGATCGTTCCGTACTCTTTTTCCGTACCCATTTACATGGGTTCATATGGAGCAAGTACGGAACGTTCCGTACTTTTCTCCGTACCTCCGTACTATATTTTTCCGAACCGTTTCCGTACAAAAGTACGGAATTTTTTACAGTGAACAAGTTTAAGACTTTAATGTGTAAGTTAAAGAAGAATTTCTGAGTCGATCTTCATAACCCGCTGGTAGTGTGGTCCATGTTACCCGCTTATGGGGGGCTTTCCGATTAAAAATCATCGTGATACGTATGAAAACGTTCGTAAGAAATTGAGCGTGTGCGTTGAGGACAAATCTCAGCAGAGCAAGTATAGGCTGCTCTTAGACCCGTAGTGACTTTTTATCTCTTGCCAAAAAGGTTTTAGTGAAAAACGTAAACATGGTGCGAGACATCGATGTCCAACACTTGCAGGCGTTAGACAAACGTGGCTCACTCTTGTAAAGCGTGAGACAAAATGTACCACACCTATAAGTCGATGGCCCCTATTCAAAAGATCTTATCTGGGCGCTCCTATTCAAAAAATCTTATCTGCAACGCACGCGAATTTCACTAAGTTTGACCTTTTGGTACGGAGAAGAGGGTAAGCGGAACATATTTCTACACGCACTATCAATTTCTTCGATCTTTCATCTTCAAGTTTGTGTAACTACAATCCCAAATTATTTTGATTTGTAGCTGCCTCAAATGATCAAACTTGGTGAAATTCGCTTGCTTTGCAGATAAGATTCTTTGAATAGGAGCGCCCAGATAAGATCTTTTGAATAGGACCCCTCGAAGTGTGAGACTGTCTCACACTTGGATTCAGCGGCCGTTGGGCATAAGGGCGTAAGTCACGTGGGAAACCCATTGAAAATAGGTTGTTCTGTCCGATGACCACCCGATTGGCAGTGTAATTTGTTACACGAAGAAACAGTTCGTAAATTACGAAGTGCTTCCTTTTGTAAGCTTATGTGTCGTCAAAATACTTGGGTATAACAAGATACTTTTCTTTGTAAGGTTTCCAGAGTATACTCACGTGGGGATGACGAAGATGAAGACCTGCGACTGGAGGGCACGTCGTGTCGCCAGGAAGTCCTTCAGTTGGCGCTCGGTGGCCGTCAGTCTCTTCTGGGCGCGCGAAACCTTCAACTTGGCCCTGGCCGCCTTGCCGCGGTCCATGGCCACCGTCGCTGCGCGGGCCTTCGCCTTGGCCAACCAGCGCCGGCACCGCTGCACCGCGACCCTCAGCGCGGCCAGGATGCGCGTGGGCTCGGCCCGCGCCGCCTGCAGGAAGGGGAGGGCGGTATTTCAATACAATGACTACAACCACTGAAAATTGCATGGTCGGACACGTGGCAAAATTACGGAGTGACGAAAATTCACGCCAAAAATTGGCGTGACAGGAAATTGACGTTGAAAAACGCATGGCGTGAATGTACCATGTGGATTGGTGCGTAAAAAGTGTTTTATGAGAAGCGCGCTGAAAATCAAATAGTGATGCATCTCACTCTTTGAGGGGTGAGACATAACTGTCTCACCAAAAAAGGGTGATACTACATTGTATCACCGAAACAATGGTCGTACACGCATGTATCGCCGAAAAAAAGGTCGTACACGAATGTATCACCGAAAAAAGGGTGATACTTCCCCAGGAAAACAAGGGCCAATCTCGCTGATGTCTCACCTTTTTTTCGGTGATACATTTGTGTACGATGCTTTTCTTGGTGATACATGCGTGTACGACCATTTTTTCGGTGATACATTCGTGTACGACCTTTTTTTCGGTGATACATTTTGTGTCACCGAAAATTGGTGAGATGTCTCACCCTTTGAATTACAGTGCGTCGTGCCAACTGGCACGACAAGAAATTCACGCCAAAACCTGGCGTGAATTTCTGCGTCACGCCGATTTTTGGCATGACTTTTCTGTCATGCAGCATTTTTGCAAGACACTTGGTTCACGCCCGTGCAGCCGCACGAAGTCACGCCGATGGATTTTAAGTAACTTCAATATTTTAAAATGTTCAAATTCCAACATCACTTAATTGATACTTCCAATATCAATATTCAATATTGAGTATTGGTAAACCGTTTTTCCCATAATGAGTATATTGGTAATAAACCAATATCCAACAGTGAACTTTGAAAATTACTGTACGATAGTACTGACAATAGAGAATAGTGAACGGTCCTTCAGCGGCCGTTGGGCTTAAGGACTTAAGTCACATGGGAAACCCATTGAAAATAGGTTGTTCTGTCCGATGACCACTCACTTTGCTCAGTCACGAAGAAAACTGTGCAGAAAAGCTTCGTTTTGTACTAAAATTGAAGCTAATTAGCCTGATGCAGATTCTGACTGTCAATACTAGGGATTTCAATTGATCAAAATACAATACTTCGTTGGAATAAAATATTTTGATATTAGTATTGGTGCCTCAATATTATCAAAAATTCAATATTCAGCATCAAATGTTGATATTGGTTGCGTATTGGAAAGTTTAAAATATTGGACATCGATATCGGAATCAAACTACCACCCGGCCCTACCTGCAGGTATGCGTCCCTTTCAGCGAGGAGGGCCACGCGCTGCGCAGCGAACCGCTTCAGCTCGCGGCGGTTGGCCCGGGTCAGCTGCTTGCGCTTCGCCTTGACCGCCCTGAAGCGCAACGCCTCGGCCCGGGTGGCGCGCCGCACCACCTGGCGCATGGCCTTGCCCTCGGCGACGCGCTTCGCAGCGGCCTCGGCCCGGCGCTTCATCACGCACACGGCGTGCTTCAGCTTGTGCAGGGCGTCGGCGTGCTGCTTGGCGGCTTCGAGCTGGGCACGGCGCTCCGCAGACGTCTCCCTGGGCCTGGCGGCACGGCGAGCTGCGGGCTGGGCGTCACCGCCACCTTCCTGTCCGTCAGCTCCGTCTGGGCCGCCAGCAGAGTCTCCACCGCGATCAGCGGGTCCACGTCGAAGACGCACGGTCTGTGCAAGGGGTGCGTGGATCAACCTAATTCCCCATACTAACAGTGCAGTGGAGGCGTGGTCGTCGCAAAGGGCTCCAGGACCGGCAGCTAGCCCTCCGCGAGGAGCGCTAGGTTTTCTAGCACTGGAGCCACTTGCCTGGCCTTCACGAGGAGCGTTGGGTTTTCTAGCGCTGGATTTACAAGCACTGGGTACACTAATCTGGCCTCCGCGAGGAGCGCCAGGTTTACTGGCTTTGGGTTTACTAGCACAAGGTCCAATAGCCTGGCCTCCGCGGGGAGCGCTGGGTTTGCTGGAGCTGGGTAGCACTAGGGCCACTAGCTTGGCCTCCGCGAGGAGCGCTGGGTTTGCTGGCTCTGGGGTCTGTTGTACTAGATCCACTAGCGTGGCCTCCGCGAGGAGCGCCGGCCTTACTAGACTTGGGTTCACTATCTTGGTCACCGCGAGAGCTGGGTCCAGCAGCGGGGCCTCCGTAGAAAGGGCCGGATCCACCAGAGTACCCTCCGTGGGAAAGGATGGGCCCACTTGCGTTGACTCCAAGCAAGGGGCCCGGCCCTCTCAGGTTGACTCCAAGCAAGGGGCCCGGTCCTCTCGGGTTGACTCCAAGGAAAGGGCCCGGTCCTCTCGGGTTGACTCCAAGGAAAGGGCCCGGCCCTCTCGGGTTGACTCCAAGTAAGGGGCCCGGTCCACATCCGTTGACTGCGAAGAGAGGGCCGAGCCCACTAGTGTAGCCTCCGTGGAAAGGGACGGGTCCACTCGGGTTGACAGCGAAGAAGGGGGCGGATCTAGTAGCTTGGCCACTGCTCCACGCAGTGCCCTACGAGATGACATGTCTGAGGACACAAAGAACTAGTTTATTGAGGGCGGACGTCCAGTCAGCAGTGACGTCATCTGTTAAGGGGAGGTTCTGGTGAAAATCTTGCCATTTTCCAAATGGATGTCACTGTCATAATTTGTTCGGAATATACTAGGGGTACGCGCCGTTTAGTTTGGGCGCGTAGTAGGCGAGCGATGCGTCTGAATACATTCTTATAAGAGGTGGCGAAGAATTCGTGCAAAGTAAGGCCAATGCAGGGTCTTCCGTAACGAATATGGCGGAATTAATGTCATTTTCGTGATTATCTTACTGAAAACTGCAGGAAACAATGGGAAACTCAACTTTGAAATTTTGGTCACAAATTGGTAAATTTTGGGAAAAGTAAAGATCTAGGATGAAATTGGAAGTCATTTTCGTGATCAGCACACCAAAAACTGCAGGAAACTATGTAAAACTCGACTTAAAAATTTTGGTCCGAAATTGGTAAATATTTGGAATCTTGAAATTGAACTTTGAACACAAAAGTGCGAACTATGTAACTCGATTAAAATTTTGCCAATTGGTTATTAATTGAAAGAAAAAAATACGATTTCAAGAAATCCTAGGAGTCACGAAGTCGATTTGGGTAGGAGTGTGGGGAAAGCAAAAAAAGTTATGTAAAAGGTAGGGGGTGGCTCAAGGGTGGCTACGAACGGCAGTGGTACCAATGTGGTCGATGTGCCACCCGTCAAAATTTAACCTTGGCAATAAAGAGAAATCAAAATGCGAAAAATTCCAATGCTAATGTATTCCACAGTGATCTGACAAAGGAACATCTTTGAAATCCATCATTATGAAAACTTTGGTAGCAGAAAGAAGGCAGTAAGTTAATTTTCGCGGGTTGGCAACAATTTTGTCGGCGTCTGCGCCCATCTGCGCCCTTGCGAAAATCGCGAAGCTGAAAACACGAGTATAGTCGCGCATTAAAACCGCCCCTCCATTGTTGCTGACGTTGAATTGTTTGGCTTATTTCAAAAGGCTACGGTTCTCTAGTCATGTTTTCTTCAATTCTGTGTAATAGTTCTCACTCACAACGTAGCAACACCACGACGTCATCGGGACCTCACCGCGTGGCCGACAACGTTACCCAAATGCGGGCGATGATTTTTCGACGCTTAAGATTTAGTTGCTACTGGTTCGTCACCCAAAGAATGGGCGATGGTAGTGACTCTTTCATTCTCAGTGAGAGGAAAGGTAGAGGGCCGCCAGAACGATGCCCGCAGCCGCCGCTGTGACGCTGCTAGCGCGTCGAGACTCCCGCCTGACAGGATCCCCAGCAGGGGGTATCGAAGCACATGGTCTAGGGAACCTGTTTGTATGGGGTATCTCCCAAACTTCGGGACTGTCCGGCTAACCTAGAAGGTGTATTTTAGTCTTATCCACCGACAAACCGTACCCTTGGGCTAAATAGGCGCATAGATTGTATTAATTTTGGCTTTTAAACTGGATACTTGCAAGTGAGTCATTCTTTGCCATCTTTCAAATGTACGTACGGCTTTGACAGCTGGTAGCGTAAAAACAACCGGACGAATCTCAAACCGAAAACGAATCTAGCGGAAACAGACAAGTAAGATACACACAGTTTCGCTCTTATCGGAAAAAATTATGTATTAGAAAATTTGTGAATCAAATTTCCACTCCGTTGCAGCCGTTCCGAGCGCTGCGTACACCGGGAATACCCTTGTGAGGTAGATTCTTCTAATGAAATATTCTAGTTCACCTCTCATTTGTTCTGCAAACTAAGTTCGGACTCGATTTATATAAGTTTCCGAATGTAACGTGTGCACTCGTTCAGTACGGGGATGGTTTAGAACTGTAAAACGGTAAAAGTGAAGTGTTCGATGCACGTTAACCTCTCCACGGATATTACAAGAACTAACCTTCTCTTTCTCTGGATGTCAATACCGGGCAGGAGACAGCGTCTATGCGCCCTTCTATTTTGCAGAACAGCTTACGCTCTCAAAGACCCACAGAAACTGTAGAACGACTTTAAGACACTGAAATATCTGATACTATTTTCCACAAGGGTCTCGTCAAGGCCTATGCCAGTAGTACCAATGCACGAAACTGGTGGCAGCACTGCCTTCCTCACTCACCATTGGCCTCCACGCATTGGCTAAGGAAAGAGCGCATGGGAGACATCCAAGCCAGAAGTGGGGGAAATGACGTTGGCCCCCGGGGGTCAAGGGGGAGGAGATCGATCAGGGAGTAGCGCCAGCACTCCTGAATTCAAAACGAAATCCTTCACTCTCAGACTCGTATTGACTTTTTATCTCTTGTCGTAAAGGTTTTTGTGCAAACGTAATATGTACTATTTTCTCTTTAGCTGTGAACTATTTTGTTCATTGTATAATGTATTTAGTGCATTAAACCGGACTTTTTGTCATTTGCAAAGTACTTTTCTATTTCTAC